CTCAAAATTACAATCCTTCTGCCTCAGCCTCCTGAGTTACTGGGATTACAGGTGTGCACCACCATACTTGGCCTGAGCTATTTTAAATAAATGAGCATGACATTCATCAATAGGGTGTGTTACTGGCTTCTTGGACAACTAACTTAAACTTTAAAGATGTGAATATGTCTAAAATGCTCTGAGCAAGTGGATGCCTATCTAGGACCAGACTCTTTTCTGCCCTGTGACATGGGTACTTGTGATATGTTCAGAATGTCCACCCTGGATTCTAGATCTTGTCTGTCCAACTTCTAGTAATCCCTTCCTCTGCCTTCATCTCCTCATCAGACTTTTGCCTCTGACTTTGGAGACCTTGGTTTGCACCTGTGAGTTAATATCTTTGCCCTTTCACAGACACTTGGTTCCTCCAGTCTACCATTTGCAAATTCTTCAGGACAGACCCAATGTGTCTTCCTCTCTGTTTCTTCCTCTGCAGGAAATTAGTTGTAGCTTCTCTGCTTTGACTTAGTTTCCCACTCTTTGTTTTCTATCTTCCAAAATTCTGATGTTTTACACCTGTCATTTCCCATATTTGTCTTCACATCTGAGAGGTCTAATGATCTTTAAAAAATTACTATCAATATAATGGAGGCTCCAAGGAATACAGAATCCTGCTTATCTTCAGTAGCTCATGTTTGGACATCTCTGTATTGTCGCTTTCTGATTCCTAAACCTTTGATCTCCTTGTTCCCCAGAAAATAGGAGCCTCAGTTTTGAGCAATTGGAAAAAGATACCCACTCAGTCTTTTCCTAGGACTGCTTCACAGAGCCCCTTTGTTCTGTGGTTAATATACTGACAGGAAAGAGCCAGTGTGAATTAGCTTTTGTAAATATCAGTTAAGACTTGGGAAACTCTTTGGCATAAAGGTTAAGTGCAATTAAAGCTAATCTTACAGTTAAGCTGAGAAATTTCCTATTGATTGGAAAATAAGACTAATTAGGTCAGATGAGCTTTTCTCTTTTGTTAAGAAGGATAATGTGTAGGGACTGCGAATTAAAACTTTGCCCTAGAACAAGGGGCAGATGTTGCATTTCCTAAACTCACAACAATTATTTTTTGTACAAATGCATTGGTACTTCCAAGATTTGGGTGGGTAGAACTTAATTATTCTACTCTTTCATAGTGCATAATTTTTTTCACATATTTATTTCTGCAGGAGTATAATTAGTTCCTTGACGGTAGAGTCTGTTTCTGATACGTTAGCATCTCTGAATGTCAGAAGAGGGGCTTACCATAGACTCAGGTGCTGTGCATAAGCTCAGTTTATCTCTGTATCAACCTGCTCCCTGTAACACTCTGTTCCCAGCAACCACTATGTTCATCTCTGTTATAGATGAAGAAGCTGAGGCACAAATCACACTAGCTATAGTAAGAGGTAACAAGGTATTTTACAGATGGGAATAAAACTGGTTAAATCAGAATAGTTAGTTCTAAGGATAGTTTCAAGAGGTACTGGTTCCAGTTGGCTGATTAACCAGGTTAGCATGATCCTACCCCAGGCTACTGCAGTATCTGCCTTCAGTGCTTTCTAGAGAGACCGAACTGGAACTTCATGGACCTTGCAGAATTGGTTGTATGATTATTTTCTAACAAATCTTTGACAAATTTGCTCTGAGGATATTTTTCACTGTAACATACACTCTGGGGCAAGGTTATGGAAGAAGCTCTTATAGCTCAATCTATCTCTCTACTACAGGAGGCCTGTAAAATGTTAATAAATGTGAATAATGTTAATAATGTAAAAATGTTAATAATGTGAATGACCAAATTGACTTAGGTTAATTTGTAACTTCCTTCTTCCTTAGTTATCTCCAACTAAGGAGAAATCTAGTCCAAGAGTCAAATAATGTCTTGTGAAAATTTATCATAGACCTCAAACAAAGACTCTTGGGGCTATAATCTCTGACCTGAAGTCCTTCCTGTAATGTGAGAGCATTTGGCTCACAGATAAGACCTCTGGGTTAAAATTTAAAACCATCAGTTAGAAATTCATTCTGTCAGCACTGGGGATTAAATCCAAGGGTGCTTGACCCCAGCTCTTTTTATTTATTTATTTTTATTTTGAGACAAGGTCTCACTAAGTTTCCCAGGCTGGCCTTGAACTTGTGATCTTCCTGCCTCAGCCTCCCAAGTAGTGCATCATTGGGTCCGCCCAGTGTTAGAAATTTAATGTTGACCCCAAGCACCATACACCTGTTCTAATGGGAAGGGGTCCTGGTCAAAGCCAGCTGTGATTAAATGACTGTCAAGATGGCTTCTCCCTTTTCCTTTTGGATCACTGTGGTGGAAATTCTGCCCCTGATTTTCTCCTTCTCTGTAGAAGAGATATGTCTTATATGTCCTCTTTGGATGCACCTATACCTCAAGTTGCTCCAAGTTCCAAAGACATTGAAAAATTTTAGCCTTGCTGGTGGTCTCATATCACAAGTAGTCTAGTAATTGCTTGTGAATTTCAGGAATATTTAGATTTTGAGGTGAGAAGCATATAAGTGGTACTTTAAAATATATTAAAAAATGAAAAATCTCATATGAATATAAAAATGAATTAAGAATAATAACTGAAGCCGGGTGTGGTGGCACATGCCTATAATCCCAGCCACTCAGGAGGCTGAGGCAGGAAGATTACAAGTTCAAGGCCACCTTAGCAACTTTGAACTTTGCTGATAGAACTTTTTTTTTTTTTGCCCTTTTCCTTCTTCTTCCTTTTTTAAAAAAATGAACACAAAACCTTAATTTACTTATTTTTATGTGGTGCTGAGGCTCAAACCCAGTGTCTCACATGAGTGATACAAGTGCTCTACCACTGAGCCACAAACCCATCCCCAGCTGATAGAACTTTTAATTGTCCATCTACAATATTGCTAATAGAACTTTGGAGAAGGTTCAAATCTATTATGTACAGCATAATAGCCAGTAGTCACATGTGACTATTAAGCATTTGAAATATAGTTCATGAAATTGAGGAATTGAAGAGTGTGTGTGTGTGTGTGTGTGTGTGTGTGTGTGTGTGTGTTACAGGGGATTGAACCCCAGTCCTGGCACATGCTAGGCACATGCTCTATCACCGAGCTACACACCAAGCCCTTTTTATTTTTCGAATGGGATCTTGCTGAGTTGCTGAGGTTGGTCTTGAATTGTGAACCTCCTGCCTCAGTCTCCCAAGAAGCTGGAATTATAGGTGTGTATGGCAGAAATTGAACTTGCAATTTCATTTAATTTAAACTGAAGTAACCACTTGTGACTAGTTACCACATTGGCCCTCACAGATCTAGAATATGGTGATAACTTTGATTCAGGATAGTCTGGGTTACGCTGCAGCCACAAAGTACCCTAAAACCTTTGGTGGTTTGTAAGAACTGAGGTCTATTTCTTGCTGGTTATGAGCAATTCTAGGTTGGCTGGGGACCCAGGTGGAGAGAGTAGCCATCATCCCACATTTGGCCTGTTGTTATGGAGAGTCTTGCACCAGCACTTAAGTGCTTTTGCCCAGAGGACACTTAACACTCTGTTCCCAGCTCATTACCCAACTCTTCACCCAGCCTGACCTACTCAGAAAACCAGGACAGCAGAAAGCCTCAGTAACCCCTGCCACAGACAGTAGCCATCCTCCCTCAAGACACAGAGGAGACCCCAGGGGATAAGGACAGCAGTACTGCTTGTGTTAACTGGAGAAGTGTGTTTCCTCAGAATTCAATTTCCATCACCACCTTCAAACTCGTTAGCACAGATTCATCAAATTCATCCATTCATCAAATGGGAAACAAAGTGCAAATATCAAACATTTTGGTAAAAAGAGACTTCATATAAAGTGTCAGCTGACAAGAATCAGCATATCTTTCTAGTTATGCATAGACATATCTTTTGATGGGAAGATCTGCAATGCAAGGAATATTCAACGGATTTTAATGATGGGATGAAAATGAATGGAATAAAGTGTATTAGTTATTTTTCTGGTGCAGAATATGTATCATACATTTTTTGCTAGCAAGGAATAAAAACAGTCCTTCTCTTTTATAAATTCCTCACCAAGAAAATTTGTAGATCATGATTGCCCTAAAAAAATGAAAACTTTTAAATCTTAACTGGACAATGAATTTCTTCTCTCCAGAGTAGACTATGGAACCACAGAATCATCCATTCCAACACTTAACAACATGTCTTGAATTCTTTCTAGAATAGCCACAATATTACTTGAATAGCCCAAGACATGGGGGACTTATTAGCTGATATCCAATAATGGACTTCCTGTAAGCAGGACTGACAGCTTCCTGAGCACACCCTTCATTATTGAGACATAGAAAAAGACTTGGTTGCCAATAATGAACTTGTCTAATGTCACCAACTCAAACCATGCTCTGGTAAATAAAATCAGTGATGATGATGATTTTGTCACATGTAAAAAACGTCACACAGATTTTAGCATTACAAGGTGCTGATACTATATAAAATATCCTTCTAGAGTGTAATGGCACTAAACTGACACTTGAGAAGAGCTTTGAACTAAATTAGGTCATCTGAATAAACAAGAAGTGTTTACATCTTTTATATCTGTATCTTCTGTTCCTTAGTAAAACACAACACTACAAGTCAGTTTTTCACATATGTTTGGGATAGTGTTTGGTTTTAGTTATCAGGATGTTACCTGTGGACTCTACAATTGGTAGCGTGGAGGAAAGAGAGAGAGGTTTGCAAAGATTGAACAAACAGCATGCACTGTGATATCCTTTATTTAAAAATTGTGGTCTAACTACAGTTGTAGTGTTCTCATTTACCATTCTGATGGCACATAAACAAGAGAACATTAACACAATTCCAAGAAGGCATTAACCTGAAAACACACATATATACCACCCATGCACCCACACAAAACACACACACACACACACACACATACACAAACATACACACACAGATTATAGTTCAAACACAAAGTGATGAAAAACGCTTTGAATGCTCTAAATCAAATTAAAACCCCTTTATTATAGTAAACTGTGGCAATACTGTGGTTATAAAGGAAAAAAAACTAACTTTAAAAAGCAAAAAAAAAAAAAAAAAAGGAAAAATACTGGCAATTTGAAATTAGCAAAAAGCAGCTAAAATAGAAGAAAAAAATAAGACTGAAAATCAAAATTCTAATGCTGATACTGTGAAGAATTGCACAGAAGTAGTTTAAAATTGGTTCTAAAGAAACTATTAAAAAGTCCCTTGAAATAGTAAATTGCTGCACCTTATAAACAGTGGAAAAGAAAAAAAAGAGTATTTGGAATATTACACACACACACACACACACACACACAGAGGAAATGCACTAGGGTATAGCATCAGTTTATGGTCTTTGTTTATGACCTTCAGAAAGTTTTATAAAGACAAAAACTTAAGTGCCAAGGTTGTGAAAGAAAGTTAAAAATTCCTACAGATGCGAGTCTGAGTGCATTTATCAGGTCTAAGAATATATTTCAAGGCTGGGGGCCAGGCATGACTGATGCACATTTGAGAAGGAAAATATAGTGGACCCGTAAGGTAGGCCAAGCTCTTTGGAGAGTGTTGAAAATGAAGATTATTAAACTCAAGACTATCTTGCAGAAGATTTCAAAGTACGTGGAATTCTACAGTTGTTCATCTGTTGAAATTGGTTTCATAGTGCCCAATAAATAATTGACTAACTTCAGCAAACTGGTTTTTCCTACACTGAGACACAAACATCTTTACCACGCATGCAGGCTGGATACTCTGTAATATAGCACAAATCTGAATCCTGATTGAATAAGAAAAGCACATTAGCAAGAATTATTTTTTCCACGGGTTTTTATCCAAATGTCAGAAATTGCTAGACATTTGTGGAATGGGATAAGTTTACATTTCCTACTGATTTTAGAAGAAAAGGATATTTTCCTTTCCTAAGGAAGCCAAAGTCATCCATGAGCCTGGGACCTGTCTTCAGAATCTAAGAAACATAATTAATATGTCCTTAGTGCCAAAACTCATGACAAGTACAGGTTCAGAAAAATAGGTTGAAAGGGACAGGGAAACGGAACGGCCTAACATCTATCTACAGCATACTTTGGAGTAGTGTGCCTTGTAAGTTAAAATGGCTCAACTGCTTTCAGAGTGAAATGCTGCGGTTCTCTGGAGTCTGGGGCTGGGGCAAGGCCTTCCATCTCCAGGTGCCCTCTGAGCTGAACTGTGGCATCCGGGCCCAAAGCCCTTGTGGCCTTTATCTTCATGAGTGTGTTCAGTTGGGGAATTTATGATTTTGTCCAGGTAAAAATTTCTTTTGGTTACCTTCTCTCAAAATCAACTGGTCAGGCATTTTGCTGGTGATTTCCTGAAATGAAATCTAGCTGCACTAGTATCTTAAGGTGCCAGCTAATTCAAATTAATGCCCATCAATAATGCTGCTAGGTATCAACTGCTATTGCTGAAGAATCAACCCCCAAATGGCCTAACTAGAAAAATCTATCACACTAGGTGCTTTTACTATCTCGAGTTTTTTGAGCTTTAGAGAAGCAGTCCTTTTAAAAATGACTTAGAACCCCCTTCTCTCTGGCTTCGTTTCACTCTTCCTCTTCTTCCTCTTCCCCTTCCCCTTCTCCTTCCTCCATGGTTTCCACAATGAGCTCTGCTGTGCAGGTGGCTTCTCCAAGACTGTTGACAGCCTTGCAGGTGTACTTGGCGTCGTCATCCCCACAGACGTCACTAATAATCAGAGAGCAGTTCCCATCCTCGTCGTAGTCTATCTGGAAGTGGCGGGACTCCCTGATTGACTGGTCGTCTTTGAACCAGACGACCTCAGGGTCTGGATATCCTGCATCACAGGGAGACAACACAGGTTGCAGAGTCTGCTATTCAAAGTCTTTTATCGATTCATACCAGCGACTCTCTATTGATTAAGGGGGTCAAGGGAAAAACTCTGACGCTGGCTCTTCGTATCTGTTTTGATATCTACATTGACACATGGCCATGTGTTATGAATACTATGATCTGAAACCCCAAATAAGGTAATTTCAAGGGTATCCATTTCCTACCCGTGCTGGGCCCTCACCAGCCCTCCTTGAAACAATGCTCCAACTCTGACTGCACACTTAGGGCTGAATATCTTTTGGAGGAAAATACATTGTTTTCTCTTATATAAAAGCTTAACTTTTAAATTAAAAATATTCAGAATAAATGAGCACAAGGGATCTTTTTGGGGTGCTGGAAATATTCTAAAATTGAATTGTGCTGATGGGTGAGTGATGAAAAGTTTACTAAAAATAATTGAGTTGTACACTTAAAATGGGTGAATTTTTCATGGTACATAAAATACAACTCAACCAAGCAGATAACAGCTATATAAAACATGAGAGGAAATGATGATATTGCTAAGAAAAAAAAAGCATATTTGTTTGAATCTGATGCAGGTAACCTGCCTGCAGATAACTGGAAATGAATTCACTGGTTGGCCTCGTTTCATGTTAGTCATGTTTCCACGAAGTTCAGTATTAAAAAGTAAATAAAATAAGCCAGGAACAGTGGTGTGCATATGTAAATTCTAGCTACTTGGCAGGATGAGGCAGGGGGATCACAATGTAGGTAAATTAGTGAGATCCTGTCTTAAAATAAAAATTTTGAAAAGGATTGGGGATGTATGTAGCTTAGTGGTAAAGCATCCCTGGGTTCAATACCCAGTACCCGCCCCCCACAAAACAATATAATTCATACACATAAAATAAATACATATTTTAAAGTGGAGCATGTATATATACATGAGTGTCATCAACATTGCATATATGTATATATACATATATTATATATATAGTATAGGTTTAAACATATTATATAGATATATAGGTTTAAATAAATTATATAGATATAAATATATATAGATGTATATTTAAATCTATACTATATATAATATTTCAACTGTCTTTCTCTTAAAATTTGGATAAGCATTTTTAAAATTTTTATTTATTTATTTTGGAGAAGTGTTTCTAGAGGAAAAAATTTTGGTCCAAGCTAGAATAAAAATTAGACACAAGAATTTAAGAATTGCTGGGGCTGGGATTGTGGCTCAGCGGTAGAGTGCTCTCCTAGCACGGGTGGGACCCGGGTTCAAGCCTCAGCATCATATAAAAATAAAGGCATTGTGTTGTGTCCATCTACACTTAAAAAATAAATATTAAAAAAAAGAATTTAAGAATTGATGGGCATGGTGGCACATGCTATAATCCTAGTGGCTAGGGGAGGGGGCGATGAGGCAGGAGGACAGGAGTTCAAAGCCAGCCTCAGCAACTCAGTGAGGCCCTCAGCAACTCAGTGAGACCCTGTCTCTATATAAAAAGGGCTGGGGATGTGGCTCAGTGGTTGAGTGAAAACCCTAGTACAAAAAAAGAAAGAAAGAAACTTAACAGAATTCTAACATTCTTTTTAAGTATAATTTTCTTTTTATCAAACAACATCCATATGCTTTAATTTCTCTTGCAAGTACCAGTGAGAAGTTATACAAATATAAGGAGATAATCTTAAGGAGATTACATACAAAAGATGATCATCACTATGTTAAATTAAAAAGGAAAGAACTCAGAAGACCAAGGACAATGGTGAGGGTGAGAGTTATAGGCGGCGGTTCTGGCTTCGAGCAGAAGCCCATCTGAGAACCTTCATATTACCAAAGGCAGTACAGCCCCCTTTTTTTTTAATCAGATGAAAAAAAGAGAAAAATTGTGGTAGACAAAATATTTATAAGGCATCTAGATAATATAAAGGTGAGGAGAAAATTTGTTTTCTCCTTCCTAAGGCTGGGTTATTTTACTCAAAGGCATCATGGCCACAGTGATAGAAAGCTGCACAGAATGGGAGACAGGGTTTGTTCGGAAGGCCACGCTGTGCTGTGTGACCTTGGGGAAATCGCTCAATGAACTTTTGTGCTTTACGTGCTCAGAACAAAATGGGGAAAAAACTCTTCACTTTGGTTGGCATGTGAAAGTCCCAGACTTGAAGCAAAGAGGCCTGACTTATCCTGCTCCTAGAATTTCTAGAATGTTGCAATCTGTGGAAACAGAACAGCTTTGTGTCATCAACTCTGCTAATTTCTCAGGCACCATGCCAAGATCCCTTAAGGTCCTTGGGTCCTAACTTTCCCTTACTTTCAAGTCACATTGCATGCTCTCCCTCTGAGCTTACCAAGCCCCTACTTTCCCCTTTACTTCATGACTTCTTTTTTGGTACGGAGGATTAAACCCAGGGTTGTTTTTTTTTTTTTCCCCCAGGGTCTTGCTAAATTGCTGAGGTTGGCCTTGAATTTGTGATTTTCCTGCCTCAGCCTCCCGAGTAGCTGGGATTACACACATAAACCCCCATGCCCAGAGGCAACAATATCCTTCCTTCCTTCTTTCCTTGGTACTGGGGGTTTGAACCCAGGGATGCTGCTGAGGATGGCTTTGGACTTGTGATCTTCCTGCCTCAGCCTCCCAAATTGTTGGGATTATAAGTGTGTGCCACCACACCTGGCACTGTTTCATGACCACTTTAAAGACTTAAAAGATTTTCCCTTTTCATGTATGGGACCTCACAGAACTACTAGGGCCACTGTGGGTTAGATGTCAATTTATAGATAAAGGGCCTAAACCCAGCAGACTCATCCACTGTCACTGAGCCTGTCAATAAGCAGTAGAACTTGCCAACTCCAGTTCTCTGTCCTTTGTGCCAAGCTCCCTTTCAGTGCCTCTGGGGGGAATTCACAGGCTTCTCAGCAGTTCGCAAAGCTCACTTCATTATGCATGTTACACAGCCAGGAAGGCCCACAATAAGCCTGGTGGCTGGGGTAAGTAGGTGAAATATCAGCTGGGCCCGTGGGAAAGTCACTGAAGGGCACTACCCTTCAAGAGGCAGGGTGAAGGGAGTGGCCCTTTGGAACCGGCTCCTCCTGACCCAGTGCACCTCAGAGTCTGGCTGTTCCTCCTGCTGCAGCACAGCCCTGCCATGTTACACAGGCTGCTCCTGGGCCACCCCTGGGGTGTGTGAGAAGCAGAGCCTCAGTTTACCTTCGATCTTGCAGTCAAATCTAGCAGCACTTCCCTCCACGACTTCAAGATCACGAATGGTCTTGGAGAAGTAGGGTTTTACATGGGGCTTCTCCTCAGCAACGGCTTCGAGGAAAGCCTGGGAGACATCTTCTAGAAGACAAGGAGAGAAGCTGGTCATTTCTTTATTCCTTGTTCTCTCTTCTCCCCTGATTTAAAAAGGCTGACTTAAAAAAAAAAAAGAATTTGCTAGAATTTAGCAAATAATGCAGCTTAGCGAAGTGAATCATAAGCACTTCTCCTGGGGATGGTTGGCCTTCTGCCAAATGGTTTCTGGCAGCAGTGAGAACTGTACCCAAAACAGGGAAATGTTCAGCCTCTCCCCGCCCTGATGCCAATACATTGAAAGAGGAAGTCATCTTCAGAAAGGGGTTTTGGCTGCATTTCCTGCTGTGTCAGGATGGGTTGAGGGCATCTGAAAAGGACAGAACCTCTCCAGCCTTCCTATTTCAAGGATCCTTCACCCTCCTACTGCAGCAGGATGCTCACCTGCTCCTTGGAAGGGAGGAACCAGGTTCTAGAGGCACTGACAACTTGCCCGAGTTTTGTGTTCCACGTTTAGGTGGACTCGAAGATGTATGGCTGTGGACTGGTATTATGGGATAGGTCCAGGGGAAAAGATGGAACTTGGAGGGGCTCCTGTGTCTACTCTCGTCTCTTCAGGCTACGTCTGAGACGTGTAGTGAGAGGCAAGAGTGGCTCTGGAGGGACCAGACCCACATGCTACAGACTGTCGCTGGCTGCAAGGAAGCTCCAGAGCAGCCAGCAGCAGCCTCGCC